CATTCTCCATCCTCCATCCCTTCTCAAATACCCTTCCCTGCTTGGTCTTTTTCAAGTTTTTTTTTTATTATTTTAAACAATATTTAAATTTAGATATATTTTGATTATATTCTTTCCCTCCCCACCAGTTCATCCAGATCCTCTTCTCCTCCCTAGTTATCCAGCTTTTAGCTATTGTTTTAAACAACCCCAAAACCCACTGCAAGAATAAAAATCTAGAAAACAAAATATAGTAACACCCAAAAAGAAAAAAAACCTCCCAAATTCTAGTCAAACAATGACAGTTATTTGTAACCAGAACAAACGTCAGTTCTGTGTTAACCTTTACCCTAGTGTCTAGGTTTACATTCATTCAGTCATTCATTTTTTTTAATTTAACAAAATAAAATACCATAAGATAAAACTAAAACTAGCACATCGAAGGTGGACCAGAAGAACCTACAGGACAGAGCCCACGCGAAGGCACAGGAGTCAGAGACCAGCTTGCTCTCTTACTCGGAAATCCCATAAAGACACTCAATGGAAGCCACAACACACATGCAGAGGACCTGATGGAGACCCATGCGGGCTCAGTCTCCGTGAGTTCTTATGAGCTTTGCTCACGTTGGCCTAGAAGGCCTTGCTCACCTTCATCCCTTCTGGTTCTTACACTTTCTGCCTCCTCTACCTTGGGATTCCCTGAACTCTGAGCAGAAGGCTCCTATGGAGGCATGGAGACATCCTGTTTAAAATTGAGTGTGCCAATGTCTCTCACTCTGTGCAATGCCTGCCTGCGGGTCCCTCTACACCAGTTCCCATCTGCTGCAGGAGGAGGCTTCTCAGATGATGGTTGATCTATGAGTCTAACAGACTATCATTAGGAGCCAATCTATCACCACACTTCCTTTTTTTTTCTTTTTGAGACAAATATTGTTTGGTTTTGTCCTAGTCTCTGGGCTATCTAATCTCAGGTCCTTGGTCACCCAAGCAGCGTTGGATGTGGACTCCATCTTGTGAACAAGTCTTATGTCTGATTAGTTGTTGGTTGGTTACTCCCACAAGCTCTGTGCCGTTGCACTAGCATAATCTTGCCAATGGGACATCATTGTAGATAAAGGGTTTGTGGCTGGCTTGGTATCTACAAGTGGTATTGTCTCTTTCGATAGCAGCCAGAATACCTTCCCGTAACAAAGACACTGGAATGTAGGGCTGAGGGCTCTATGCAGCCACTACTTCAACACTCCCATGCTCAATGAGTTGTGTAGGTGTTGTCTTCCGCAATGGGACCTGTAAAGAATCAGCCATACAACATGGCTGACACTTCCGGATTCCAGGGCCATGCTTGTGAGGATAAGCTCTCAGGCAGAAGTGCCTAATGGCCCCGGGAATCTTAAAGGACCCTGGTACCCCACGTGCAGCATGGTTGCATCATCTACGTATGATGCAGCTGCATGAGCCCTTGTGCGTATGCGTGAGCTCCATCATCTGCCTATGAGGTACCCATGCCATCCCCTGTGCGCATGCGCTAGGCAGCCCTTAAAAGATGGAGGCGCCATCTTCAGGCCCCTACCCTCCCTCCCTCTGCACACCGACCTTCACCAGGCCTGTTTACCGCCCCCTGCCCGCCAATAAACTCCTAAGCGGGTTTGTTGCGTGTTCCATGTTTCCTTCTCACTCACGTGAGGTAATTTTAGGACCTCTCTGAAATTAGAGCAACCTATAGTCCTTTGTTTGGGTTTTTTTTTTGGGGGGGGGGAGGTTTAATGATTTATTTAACTTTATTTTTTATGTGCATTGGTGTGAAGGTGTCAGAACTCGTGGAACTGCATTTTCAGACAGTTGTGAGCTGCCATGTGGGTGCTGGGAATTGAACCCAGGTCCTCTGGAAGAGCAGTCGGTGCTCTTAACCACTGAGCCATCTCTCCTATATAGTCTTAATAGCTTTGGGCTTTGGTTGTTTGGGGATTCCCATGGGATCCCTTTGGACAATAACTCAATTAGATGTAACCCTAGCCCAGTACTGGAAACTTCATTTGGTGACAGGAGGTGGCAAGTGGGGCCTCTGTCACCCCCATTATTTGGCAATTTCCTTTAGAGTGCATATATATGGGTTCTACTATGTCAGGTTTCCATACTAACCCTCAAATGCCCTTTGATTTTTACTGTCTCTCCCCATATTCCCTCCTTTCCTCCTTCCCACATCCCCTCCCTCTTACCTTGATCAATTCCAGAACCCACCACATCTATCCATAAATATTCTATTTCCCTTTCTTAATGAGATCTACCTGTTACCTCTAGTCCCTTACTCTATACATACCCTCTGAGGTATTGTCTTCTGTGGATTGTAGTTTGGTTATCATTGACTTAAGAGCAAATATCCACTTATAAGCAAGTACAGATCATATTTGTCTTTCTGGGTCTGGGACACCTCATTTAGAATGACTCTTTTTCTAATTCTATCCATTTGTCTGCGAATTTCATGATGTCCTTTTTTAAAAAAAACAGTTGAATAATACTCTTTTGTATAAATGTATGTTTTCTCTATCCATCCTTCGGTTGACGGACATCTAGTTTGTTTCCAAGTTTTGAGTAATTCCAGCAATGAGCGTGGTTGAACACGTGTCTCTGTGGGAGGATGACGCATCCTTTGCAATTCAGAGGTTTAGACCTCGGTGTCACGGCAGGAAGCCTGGCAGCAGACAGACAGGCATGGACCTGGAGAAGAAGCTGGGAGTTCTCCATCTGGATCAGCAGGCAGCAGGAAGAGTGAGCCACTGGACGTGAACAACTGGAACCTGAAAGCCCATCCCCAGTGACATGCTTCTTCCAACAAAGCCACACCCACTCCACCAAGGCCACACCTCCTATTAGCGCCCCTCCTTTTGAGCCAATGGGGGCCATTTTTATTTAAATTTCTGAAGATCCCAATATTCTAAGGTGGGAAAAGAAGCCAGTTTTGGGGTAAAGCCCACAGTCATTCTTTTGCTGGATTCTTTGTAGAGTCTCTGGCTTCTCTCCTAGGTCAGCTAACAAGCATCTTCCTTCTCCCCACGGATGTCTGCCATATCTCCTTAGTTCTGCTTGCCTTGGGAAGGGAATTCAGCTTTCTGAGTGACTTAGAATGGCAGCGTGAACTTGACACTTGTCCTTGTTTTCTGTTGTTCCTGAAAGTATGGAAGTGACATTATTCCCAGCTCTCTAGCTATCCAAGCAGGAACGGCGACAGACATGATAGAGGACTTTAGGCCTTTTATTTTACATTTTCAACAAAGTCTGGAATGGAAACGGTCCTTTGGTGTCCCTCTGAGATTTCTGTAGGTTCCTGAAGCTGAACTGCAGGTGACCCTGTGGCAGCACAGCCTCCTTTGTTTGTTTCCTTAGTTGATGGGAAGAATCTGTTATTCAATAATTCATCATGAAGGGATTTTTATTCTTTTTCAGTTTTTATTTAACTTTTATTGCAGATACATAAGTGTGCAAGCCCATAAGATATATAACATTTCTCTGAAAGTGTATGGAACCTACATGAGGAAGCTTCCTGAGACTCACTTGGTTCACAAAGCCGGCCTTGAGGAACTGCTAGGCCACTGGCATCTCCGGCAGGAAGAGAAGAGGTCACAGGAGCCAGGGCTTCCTGAATTGACCTCCGTATTTCAACACATTTCCAAGGATAGTCATTGCATGGCTGCTGCATGGCTATGCACAGAATTCAAAGTGAAAACATTGAAAACGCATTTGAGCAGAGTACGTATCTAGAAAGGTCAGAGGATTGATGATGGAAAGCCGGGTAAACCTCAACATCTCCCTCATAAACACGAATATGTGTTGAAAGTCATTCAGAACAGTGCTACAGGTGCAAGGCTAATGACACAAAAACAGTCTAGAAAAAGACATAAATTATATATATTAATATATAAATTATATGTATGTGAGAGCTTGATATTTAATAAAGGTGCCAATAAAAAGCTGCATAGACACTGGCTTATTGAATACATTACCACAAAAGCTAACCTTTTCAGGGAAAATATGTACTTATTATATATTACACATCAATAAAAACAAATGCCAGATAGGTGAATAATAATATATAATAAATATACTTATTCTTTGTATTGATATAGTGTCAATTTTCCCAAGCAAATGTCTTATTAATTATTTGGGAATTTCATACAATGCACCCCATCACACTTATTTCCCATTCCTCCCAAATCCAACCTCCCACCCTTGAACCCCCAACCCCCCCCCCCAAAAAAAATAGAAAAGGAAAAAACCATGTACTGCATGGTTAAACTCCCAGTGTTCAGCCCCTTAAAGAAAACTGAGTGTGCCCCACACACGCACTGGTGAGAAGCCATCAACTGTGAAGAGCTATCCTTCAGCATCTTGATCACAATTGTAGGACTTCATATCTGGACTATTGTCACCTTTAACGTCTCTCATTCTCAGTTATGAGTCTGCAGTCATCAATACCACGGCCAAAGACGCTTCCTTGTCCATAGCAGCTGATAGCAGCATGGATCATGGACATGAACATGGTTTCTCGCGGCAGCAGGACCCACAGACACCAACATGGCTTCCAGCAGCATCTCAGACCACGGAAGTCTTCAGAGGGCCTTAATTCAGAAAATGAACTATTCTTTATCTTGGATATCGAGTCAGGGTGATCCTATGGTTGGGCAGCATGTCGGGGTGGGGGGTGGGGGGGCAGAACCTGAGCAAACTCCAGAGTGCAGGACACCATGCTTCCCTGGGTACTAGCCTAACCAGCCTCCCTGCTGGCTCGATCAGCATGACCATTGTATTTGCAGTCTTGGGGCAGTGTGGCATCTTCTCACAGCTGCAGGAGTGGCCACAGCTGCAGGGGCCCTAGGCCTGCGGGGGGGGGGGGGGGAGCAGGCCTTGGTCAGGGCCCGCGGGGAGGGGGGGGGGGCAGCAGTAAGGACCAGGTCTACTTAGCAACGACAAGCGCCTTTGTCTCGGCAGGCAGCCGTGCTCCTGTACCTGTTGGCACCAAGTCTCTAGTTCTGTTCCTTTCAGCCCTGGCCACTCTGTTCTGCCATCTTCTTTCTTCAAATGTCACTTTTTTTTTAAAGAAAGGAAAAATAATTCAGCTTCTCGAAATTTCTTTTTTGTTGGCTTGTTTTTTTTTTAAGTCTGTGGCTAAGGAAGTCTTTTCTAACTAAGCATGTAAAATTCAAAAACTTAGAGAGACTGTTAAATCTGTCTTTCTAAGTAAAACCTTCACTATGGTCAAAACAAATTTAAAACAGTGTTTAGTCTCAAAAAAATTCTCTATCATATAAATATTTAAGAGACAAAGGGACAATGAGATATTTACATCATCTATAGCAAAGTCCAATGGACTATTTTTAAATACTTCTTCTAAATAAGAATTTAAATCATCGCCAAGGAAACTCAGGCAAGGATTTGCCATATTGGCAGAGATGAACCGAACAGTATTGGGGAGGGGACCTCATGATGGTTGGAGTATGTCTCTTAGGGTAATAACCATGTATCATGAGCTAAATGGCTTTAAGCAAAATAAAAAATGTAGTCTTGTCATACTGGGTACTAGAGGTAAAAATCAAGGTGTTAGCTGGGTGTCTTAGTTAGGGTTTCTCTTGCTGTGAAGAGACACCAAGACCACAGCAACTCTTATAAAGGAAACCATTTAATTGGGGTTGACTTACAGCTCAGAGGTTCAGTCTCTGCTCTTCATGGTGGTGTGCAGACAAACATGGTGCCGGAGGAGAGTTCTATGTCTTGATCTGAAGGCAGCAGAAGCAACCGTGTGTAGCTTGAGTATATGAGACCTCAAAGCCCACCCCCACAGTGACACACTTCCTCTGACAAGGCCACACCTACTCCAACAAGGCCACACCTCCTAATAGTGTCCCTCGCTCTGCACATGATCTTAGCCAAAAGGCCGAGAAGCGATGTGTCCCTCGCTCTGGACCAAGCATGCAAACCCGTGAGTCTATAGGGCCATACCTATTTAAGCCACCACACCTGGAGATGTCCTTCCCAAGCCTGTCAGGCACCATCCCTGCTGCTTCCGGCTTCTGGTGATCTCAGATTCATCACTCTGATCTCAACTCCAGCATTACAGGTGCACCCGTGCGTCTGCGTCTTCCTGCAGCCATCTTTCTTTGTGTCTGTCTATATCATTTCCTCCCATGCTCAACTGTTGAAGACAGTCCTTCTATGATGCTCCTTTGTTTAATTTCTTGTTAACGAGATCCTCATATAGATGGTAATTTTACACTTAAAGTTTACCATCTGCATTTATCAAATAGGTGAGATGAAAGAAAGTGTCAGAAAGCTTTCTGTCCATCAAGCAAGGGCCTATAGTGTGGCAGTTTAAATGAGAATGGTCCCCGTAGGCTAAGACATTTGAGGGATAGGTCCCCAGTTAGTGGCACTGTTTGGGGGAGGTGTAGGAGGTGGCCTTGCTGGAGGAAGTATGCCATGTGGGATGGGCTTTGAGAATTCAAATCTGGCCTTTTCCAGCCTCTCCCCCCTCCACTGCCCTCTGTCCTCTGTCTGTGTATGTGGCTGTTCCAGCTTCCATGACTACCTGCTGCTAGCCTTCTGGAACCGTAAGTCAGAAGAAACTCTCTCTTCTGTAAGGTGCCGTGGTTGTGGCATTTGGATCGCAGCCACAGGGAAGGAACTGATGGAGGCAGTGACCTCAGAATGGAAAGTCACGCGCACGTTTCCGTTGGCACTGACTTAGACACAGTCCCGCTACCTTGCTAAGTGAAAGAGTAGGCTAGAAAATCTCAATACAAAACACTAGTAGACAACTTCAAAGCGGTCCTGGTTACTATGGGGATGGGGGAAGCAGAGGCTCCACCACTGTTAGCTAATTTGTCAAATGTTGCTTATAAATGGGATCTCGCCATTTTCTAACCTACTTTCTTGTTGCTCGGCCGTCTGGCAGTCTGCTCAAGATAACACTTTTATAAGCTCACGCTAAGGAGCTCTTTAAATGGGAGAGATATAAAACTAGTTTATTGGCACTGCTAATCGAAGCACTATTACAGAAACATACACACGCATGCACACACACACAGAATCAGTAAAGCTCATGCTCCTCTTCCTACCAGGAAGGGAATGGACTTTGGAAAAGAGAACATTCCTCTGAGGCACAGGGGAAACACAGCTAACCCAAAACAGAAGTCACCACAGCAAACCTGACCTTAACATCAGAGCTCTATACTGGGTAAGAACGCATGGATCGCGCCTAAGATTTAAAAAAGAGCAGAAGAGGGGCAGAAGGATTGTAAGAGCCAGAGGGCTGGGACCACGGCAGCTAGGGTAGCTTCCAGACCTGACAGGAAAACTATACCCATGAAATCTCAAAATTATGGTTGCCTAAAACAATACCTGCATAATGGCAACACCAGTTGACATGGGAGTGTGGATAGAGTGGGGAGAATCTCACGAGGACCCGCCTCTACGTGGAGAGCTATAGGCATTCAACAGCTGAGGGAGAATGTGTGTCCTCCAGGGCCGAGCTCCATGATAGGTTATCCAACCGCAAATGATCAGTCCTAAACACAGGTACATATGACCAACACTGAACAGAAGTGTGCTGTGTATGTGCGTGTGCGTGCATGTGAAACAATAAGAGATCATGAATTTGAGAGGTTATGAATTTGAGAGAGAGTGTAGATGGGGAGGGCTGGAAATGATGTAACTACAGCACTCAGGCACGAAACTCAAGATCTTAAAATTTTAAATAAAAACGTTTAGTGCATCCCTACCCTCTCTATAGAAGTTTATGGGAGGCCAGAGGTGACACAGGTGTGGGAACAGGTCAAAGGAGCCCACAGTCAGGACAGAGCTCAGCCAGCCCATCCCCAAACAGAAAGGATCCTACCACGGGGACCACTGAAGCTGAAGTGAGCCACGCTCCCTCTGGGCTTCTTTCTTCCTCTGGAGTGAGAGCGGCAACACTTCGGGATTACTGTAAGGGCTTTGTAGATGAAGTCTTTGGAAGCTATTGGCATACTGGAAAACATCGCTCGCTCGCTCGCTCGTTCCCTGCCTCACTTGCTCATTTATTCAACTATGCCGTACACGCATAATCCTAGGTTCTGGGGACTCATTATGAAAAGATAAATTTGTGTTCATGGCTCTTATGCTACGAAGGGGGAAATGATAACTAAATAAGAACTGTATGTTACAGCAAAGGAAGGACAGAAAACACACACATGTCTAAGATACATGCACAGTGTGCCATGAACTAAATAAGAACTGTATCTTACAGCAAAGGAAGAACAGAAAACACACACATGTCTAAGATACATGCACAGTGTGCCATGAACTCTCAATGCAGTGAGGAACCCTGGAGTGAGAAAAAAAAAAACATCGAACTGGCTAAAGAAACAATTGTTCCCTTGGAAGGGGGTTAAGGGTGTGAGGAAACGGCATTGAGTTTGTCACTGGTGGCTGTGGCTGAGGAGGGGAACTCTTGCTATGGGGGGGGGGGGGGAGTCTCCTGGCTGGGAAATGAGCTCAGAGTTCTGCCTGCCCTACTGGGGCGGGGGGGGGGGGGAGCAGAGAGGACGGAGGGGCCAGACAGGACGGAGGTGCCTCTGGGGCCATAGTAAGGTAAAGTCTTTGAATTTTTCTTCCAATGAGATGAGAAGTGTGGCTGGGTTTGAGAGGATTGCCATCATATCTGACTCAGCCACGTCTGTTCTATCTGGAAGAGAAGTAGACAGACAGCAAGAGTCATTGGAGGCTGTGTCAAAGTCCACACAAGGCGAGGAGGGTGTGTCAGCACAGGAGGTGTTGAGAGCCTGAGAGGACTAGGGGTGTGGATGGGTCTGCAGTAGAGGTAAAGCCAACAGGACGTAATGGGGGGCTGGCTGTCTATAGTGGGAGAAAGAGGGCTTCGGGTGATTGCGGAGTTTCTATCCCAAGCCGCCTCAAGACTGAGGTTTGATACAGGAGATGGAGAAGTTGGGGGAGAGGAGGGTTGATAAGTAGCGTCCAGTCTTGGGCGGGAAGATGGTACCTTGTGTGTCACGCTCATGTTGAGCACACTTTGACTAAGGTGCCGACGTGTGCCCGAGCTGTTCCCTCTCTCATGCTCCTCCATCCCACAGTGTCACATGGCTATTGATTGCTGACACCTGTGAAGGGATTACCGGGGAGGAGTGGAAGAAGGAGGGACCTACAGCCTGCAGGTCCTTCCGTTACAGATCCTGGCACAGACTGGGCACCGGAGCCTCCGTCCTGGGCAGACTTCATCAACGTGGGCTGCTCCCAGCGAGAAAGCACACCGTTTTCTCTATGCAGCATCCCTCTGGTCATCTAAAACGGTTCCAAGGAGCTGAGTGGACACGATTTCAGTGAAGGGGTCCCAGGAATCCTTGCCACCATGAGCTGGAGACAGAGGTCATGTTCTGCTCTGGGAAGGTTAGAAACTTCCCAGGATAACAGGTAAGGGAGAAGTTACTTCTGTTTGTGTTGAGGGAAAAAAAAGAAAACTCTCATAAAATGTTCTTCGCTTGGGGTATAGGCCTGGATCTGTTTACTGTAAAAGCAGGCTACATGAGGAAGGTAACTGTTTATGTTGTCAAGGAAGATGGAGAAACGTTGTCTCACTCACCGTGACCAGCTCCCCCTGAGCCTGGAAAGAACAACATGCCCAGAGATGGCTCCAGCTCTGTGTTCTAACTGGCTGTTGCTATGGGAATTTTCCTCATAATCAGACCCTCTGCCTTGATAACTTGATTACACACACACATGCACACATGCACACACACACACATGCACACACGCGCGCACACACACACTTGAACTGGAGTTGATCCTGAAAATAAGAGAGCTTTTGATTAATGCTGAATTAAAGCTCTTTCCGAAGACTTAATTGGATAAAGAGAGGGCCATCCAGAACAGTGGAGGACTGTCCTGAACCCTTCACAGTCGCAACAGCCATGACCTCAGAAGCCGCTTGCTCAAGGGACTAATGGTCACCGTGAATTCTTTTCCTTCTGAGCACTTTCTGGGTCAGTTTCCAATCTTCTCCTGACCACAGAATTCTATTTTTTTTCTTCTCTCATGCCCTGCCATGAGTCTCTTCCACATTCGCAGGAAAATAAATTCTAGAATACGCACAAGTCAGTCTCCCAGCCCCCTCCTCACTTGCCAAGGGTTGACGAAATGCTTGTCAAAAGTGTGCAGGCACCTGGTTGCGCATGCCCACAATTCTAATACTCTAGTGGCAGAGGCAAGAGGATCTGGAGGCTGAGGCCAGTTTGACCTATCCAAGACCCTGCTTTCAAAATAAAATAAAAACCCAACCTGCGTCTGAGGTGACATGCTCTCTCTATGGAAGAAAAAGGTGTGTTCTTTCTGACTGTTGCAATCGTAATATTAAGTTAGCGATAAGACCACCACCAGTGTGCCTGAAGTAGCAAACAATTGCTGTTTCCCCAAATAAGATGAAATGAACCGTTGAATTATGGCCTAAACATCCCCTAATCTTGTGGAACCACAAGAACCAGCTTCGGACTCACGACGCCTAAATGTTAGAAAAGGACTTATTTCCCAACATCAACCCCGGGGGATGGAGCTTTCCCAGCTGCAAGGTGGAAAAAGGGCATCTCCCCCTGAATTCAGTGTAGAGGAAATTTCTCCTTTTTGTCTCAGACACAGGAATCTTGTCCAAAAAGCGACTCTGTAGACATCTACTCAAACATACGTGGTCAAACACAGGTCGTGCGGTCATGTCTGAAATGAGACACTGAGAAGTGGGGAAGATGGAGGACAGAAAAAGCACAAGGGTAGGGCGGTGGCATTCTGCAGAAAGGGTCGTTCTGAGATGGGTAGAGGCAGTGTTTACAGTTCTGAGGGGGATAAAGCCATTTATTCTCGCCACTCAAGCATATCCCTACTCATCTCTGGGTGAACTTCCCTAAGCACACAAGTGAGTTGAGACTTTTCTTTCTTAAGATTTATTTATTAATTATGTAAACGGCATTCTGCTTGCATGTGTCCCTGCATGCCAGAAGAGGGCACCAGATCTGATTACAGATGGTTGGGAGCCACCATGTCGTTGCTGGGATTTGAACTCAGAACCTCTAGAAGAGCAGTCAGTGCTCTTAACCTCTGAGCCATCTCTCCAGCCCCAGAGTTGAGACTCTTGCAGGTTTCTCTCAGTCACTGGCCTTCACAGTGCTCCAGCAGTGATAACTGTGTCTTGGGGTACAGTACACAGTCAACACCCAGTGTGACTTGAAATTCTAATAATGCATTGAAATTTAGTTCACAGCAGTGTGAGGCTCAACAATGGTGCTGGCTCAACAAAGATCACCCCGTGGCCTCACCTCCTCAAGGTCTAAAAGATAATGCCAAAAGTGTGCATAAGGCCAAGCCAAGCCTTATACCCCCAACCGGGAGCAGAGAACAAGGGCCAGACTTGTTCCTTTCCACAGGGCTCTCTGAAGAACTCACCTGTGAACTCCCTCACGCCTCTGAGGACCAGATGGGCCACAACACTTCCCATCACTGCCACCTGCAAATGGGACTTTTGATCACAGTGGGCGTTTATGGGCAAACCATAATCAAACTGCA